CACCGCATGTGTTTGTTGTAAGTGTGTGGGTGAAAAATAGCAGGCAACTGAAAAATGCTGGTTTAGCAGCTCCTAGGAAAAAACAGTCGCACTGAACGGAATGTAGATGCCAGAAATGGATATTCGACGCGATGGATGGCGAATAAAGTTACCCGGATCATACTTTTTCTGCACATATTTGCAGCTTTCATCGCCACTTATTTTACACCTTTCCTTTTTCTTCCACAACATCACGCACTAAATCATGCTTGACATACACAGTTTTGGTCACGAACTGCTCATTTGCTAATAACTTTGCACATAGTTGACGAAACATAGTTCTTTTTGAAGCAGTAGATAGAATAGAGTTTAAGCTTGTTATAGATACTTTAAAAAAAGTCAATTTTAATTTTAGTATGGTTAACTACCCCATTTTCGGCCTATTAAGCACAACCCGCACTTAGTTTTTCTTAATCTAGCACAGTTTAGCACCAAACGGAATGTTATTATTACTGATGGCTTCCATATTTATTTACCTTTCCGTACGTACCGTAAGATTTGATAAAGAGAAACCAATCGTTGAGATATTGTCAAAAGTCTAACATTGCTTCTTGACGCCAAACTCGGCCTACGGATTCTAAACTCGGCCTAACGCATTGAAACGCCAATGAGTTAACTTCGGCCTATCGGATGAAGATAAAAATTGATTCGGTCGGAGCGCTTCTTTTGTTTTTGGGAATAATTGGTGCAAACCTTCATATCAAGCGTTCTCATTGACTTCGTTCCGTAGCTTATTAACTAAAGTATTGTACCAAACGCATTAACTCTGAAATCATGGATTTATTTGAAGCTTTGTGCTCGATAGGCCCAAAACGGGCGATAAGGCCGAACTAGTTCTCTACCCTAATAAACTGTATTTGTTTTTGCATTGTAAAAATGAAGTGAGAAATACTCGCTGCACTTCTCGGACCTTAAGTGTAAAAATTCGTTTGTGTTGATTCAAATGTTAAGATTTACCTTCTCTTTGCATATATATAGTAAACTATGATCCTAATCTATCAATTACTTTAAAGAAAAACAAATTTCAACAAATGAGCAGTTGGTGTGTACAACTGTGCATGACAAGCATGCACTAAATCACAAAACTTGCGTTTGCCTGGATTTGCAATTGGGTTGTTTAGGGGTATTGAGGTAAATACATATTCGTTATCTGCATTAAAAATGGAACCGAAATCGAAAACTTCATCAAATTTGGCACACTGGAACTATTTTAAATAAGTACGATTACATTGGCAAAAATCACCATCTTAGAGCCCCATGGTGGGACTTTGTATGGGAGCGAGGTGTCAACCATCAAAAATTTAAATCTTGGTTTAAAAATCAAGATCAATGTCTACGGGATCGATAAAAATATCGTTGTGCTCAGAAAACGAAGCTTTATCAGATGATGTATAAAAATCGGTATATTTTTCGAAGCTGAACAACCCAATTGTTCTTTCAAACCAACTTAATATTTTGCTGCAACAAACGACTTTCATCAACCACTTTGCTCGATGAATACCATTCATTGACTGTTTTTTCATGCATTCCCAACCGAAAACGAAAAAGGAACCCGAATGAAATCAAAATGGGAATAAAACCAGAGCGAAAGGGAGCGACTGTATGGGTGAGTATTTTGGAGAAGAGAAAGAGGGAATGCTTTTTGGTACCTATTCGCTTTACTGTGCATCCGTATGTACACCGAAAATAGTTTTCATGTAGCTTCAATTGGAAACGCACATGATTTTCATCCATAATCATAACTAATGGAATTCATCTGAATTTCTCATAACATTTATGCGATCACATTAATTTTATGTGATTTTTCATATGAATTCCATTGCCCTCATATTATTCATATGATTTTGTCGTGGGATTTGCTGATTTGGGATTTGATTTCATCCATTAGATGCAGTTTAGAGGCATTAGGTCGTATGAATAAAAGCGTTTACTTTACTTTTCCCGTAAGAAACGCACGGGAAAGTAAAGTCAACTCTTTTTATTCATACGGCCCATTGAATGGTATACAAAGTACAGCACATAAGGGAATGGTGAAATTGAATACATACTGCTGCTGCCGTTCGCTAGAAAAAAAGAACGATCAGATGCCCTGATTGTATGCAACACTGTCTTTAGTTGAGACCAGTGATGGCACGAGTCCTGGAGTTTAACATTTTTTCCTTAACATTTGATACTTTTTGCGATAACCATTGTGACGACACACAAAAACAAACTGGCAAGCGGCAAAAATGTCATGACATTTCTAAACTGTTTTCTGCCAGCGACAGAACATTTTCGCACAAAGAAGCAGACAAGACCGGCGGCGCGCGCGACATAAATTTATGTCGTGTAGAATTTTGCTGATTTCTGGCTAATTACTGCATTTATTTGATGTTTATTGCATGGAATTAAAAGATAAGAATGAAGACTGACCACTCATAAGCATTGATGTTAAAATTATGCGTAAATAAGGGAGTTGGTAATTTACTGTCACACGCAAGCCTGCAGCTAAAATTTCATTACAATAAACTGTTTGGAAAAATCAGGCTGCGAGATTTTATTTATTCTCTATCTCCGCTGTTCGCTTGGAATGTAGTTATAAACGGCCGCCCGTGTGCTGGCTGTTTTGTTTCGCTCTGGACGATGGTTTTTCAAAAAATGTACTGTTGCCACCTCTGGTTGAGACTATAGTCGCTATATTTATAGCCTGGCGGATAGAATTTCGCCAATCGAACGTAAATTACCGGCATCATCGGATTGGGGAAACTTTCCTCAACCCAAAGATGGCGTTAGTTTGCGTAGGCAAGCCTTGAGTCACGAGAAAAGGGTTTCCGAAGTTTTGTTCGCAATAGCTTATGTGCTCTTTTCAGTTGTTGGTCATGATTTACTCGATTGGTTCCGCTTTTGATCGTTTTAATTCAATTCATATTCAAGCAACTTCCCCGGGGTACCCGGAACATGTCCAAGTGTGTCCAATGTGGTCTGGAACACTTAACACGACTTGCATTGATCTTATTTTTGAATTCTGTAGTAATTTGATGCGTCGCATGATGGTTTTAATACGTTTTCCGTTAAATCCAGCGTGAAGGCTCATATTCACCGGATCTTATTCCGGCCATATCTCCGGAACCGGTTCACCGATTCCAAAACCGTTCAGTAGCGCCTATCCATCCTATCCTATCATTTGGCGCCGAGTTTGTCCAAATCGGTTGAGCGGTTGCTGAGAAACGTGAGCGCATTCATTTCGTTACACACACACACACACACAGACATGTTCCGATCTCGTCGAGCTGAGTCGAATATGACACTCGGCCCTCCGGGCCTCGGATCAATAGTCGGTTTTTCAAGTTATATCTATACCCTTCTTTGTAAGAAGGGTAAAACATAAATGTGTACACGTTGCAACTAAATAAAATAAGCCTAATAAAAACACTCAACAATACCTCGAAAATATTTTGATCCATGGCCACACTTCGCCAGCCTCGTAGTCTGCGAAGGGTAACCTATCGCAGCCCGGGAAACCGAGTGATTTGCAGTTCCATGTTCCGAGTTTCCAATCGTAGTTCTTATTTCGTCGCGTAGGTCTGTGCCAATTGTTCCGATCCGTATTTCTTTCTTCAGTATTTGCAACTTTGTTTTTTTCCACGGCGGCTTGTTGGGCCTCGCCGGGGGTCCATCGTGCACAGCTCTGTTTAGAGTCCCACGCTGGCGCTAGGACGGTGATCAGCCGCTCCTAACATGGAGAACAGACACCGTTTTGAGCCGCACCTCCATGGTGAACAGACGCTCAGGTTTAGTGAAGCATTTCCTCTATCACCGTACTATGGTTACCGCGCCAGTGTTTGCGTCGCACCTCTTCACTTTGCTATTGCCGGACTGGCAACATTGCCCAGGCTACGCCACCCAGCTGTGTCCATGTCTAGCTGGTAGTCTTTTGTTATCATATGACTCGGGGAGGCGTGAAGTAGGAACTTGTGAGGACCAGGGCTAGGTATTACTGAAATCATATGCAACAATGTCAATAATATTTCAAACATGTTTTATCACATTGTTTATAATAATTAGTATCAAAAACACATTCAACAATTGATCACTGATTAGTATGTCACCATGATCGGTAAACCTCATGGCCATGGATAAATGCTGTGCAGTAATCAATGTGAAGTGTGCAACAATTGAAAAATTTCCCTAATATTGCTTCCTCCCGGATCGGTTCAATAAAATAACTGATATCGTAAGTACAATGCATCGAAAATTTACGTTTAATCATCTAACAGAATCACTGAATGATTATTCTTGTTGAAAAATTGCCTCCCAAGTCATATTTTAATGGTGTGCAATAATTAGATACAAAGTGTGCAACAATAGAATTTCAAAGCAAATGATGCGTGCAACAATTAAGCTATGAAGCACATTCAAAATTTTCTTACACGGAATGTTTTTACCAATATAAATTGCTGATGACCTCTGGAAATGCTTAATGAATCACATTGATTTTTATTCATTTCTTGAGGAATTCTTGCTTCACAAAAAAAAAAACAGTCTCGTAAAATCACAAAAGAATTAAAATCATATGCATAGCTGTGCACCAATTGGTAAACTACCCTAATTAAGTGCAATTTCATTTCCACTTATGCTCACGCGAAAGCTATTGTATTTTTGGCTTGGTATAAGTTGTAAAATACGCGGAAACACGCAAAATCAGCGACATCGAAAACAAAACCAATCATTCGCAGGCAGAGCCTACTCATATAATGGGATGGGAGTGGGATATATTCCAAAAAATTAAATTTTTAATTTAACAATACGAAAGTCATGTGCGGCTTGTACGAATTCAGTTTTGGAATAATGCACGCAGCCACTTTGCCTCTTATTTGAAGTGCGCGCCTCTGCCGTCGAACATTAGTAATGTTTGATCGACGACGTCTTACCGCCGTATTCCATCGCTCTCATTCTCCACATTGATCACCAGTTGTCAAATAGTCTGCTGGAAAAGCGCTTCGCGTATGGACCTGAAGTGAAAAACAAACTCTTGGTGATAAAATATATTTATTTGTGGAAGAATCTCAGATTTTTCATGTGTTTTGTTGATTAATGTGAGCGAAGCCATAATTATTGCACTAGCATAGTGTTTTTGGGGGATTCAGTCGGTGAGTACCTACTTATTTTTAGGGTTTTTGTTTTTTTTTTTGTGAATTGTGCAGGTTAGTCAAGTTCGACATGCGATGAACACAGGGTCAGATATTTTACTATTACTAAGTTTTTCGTCCAGAAAACTACATTTGTGTGCGTGTGTAGGAAACTAACGAGTGCTGTGTTCTTACAAAAAATCGACAATAGTATTCGATGTTCCAAATAGGTCGAATCTGCTTGCCTGCAACAGGCAAAGCGTCAACTCTTCCACATTGATTTTCGCACGGTTGTTTCAAAGAGAGCGAGTAGGTTGACAGAATCGATGAAGAGCGAGAAGTGAAAATCGACCAAAAGCGCCATTGCTGTGAAAAGTGAAAAACTGATCGTCGTCACCATTTTGTAAATGACTGCAGCGTAGTACAGTCAGCTACACAGCGTTTGGTTAGTAAAAGTGATATTTTAGTTTCACAGGGAGTTGGTGATTATCAAGAAAACATTTTGTTTCTAATTGCTGATGCTTTGCTACTGACATAGCTTGTATATAGTGTCAGTGTGATGTGAAATTACGTTCAATCAAGTGTTGTTTGCAATTGTGGAAGTGACCTGTTTTTCAGTTCACTGACGCAGCATTTTTTATCATTAATTATAATAGTGATACGCTCGAATATTAAACATTGAAAATGTGGCATGATCAAATATGAGTGTATGTAATTTCCTGTCTGAATTAAACGTACTTAGTATCTAACCGTTTAGTTTTTATTTATCATTTAAAGGAGCAATTTTGGGATTGCTTGCTACAAGAGATTTAAAAAAATAAAATTAAATTCCTTTTATTGAAAGCATAAATTTACGAAGTTCTAGAAAATAAAAACGTTAATTATTGCTTCATATTAAAGTTCTAGTGACCAGGAAATGCATTTTAAATTGAATGTTTTTAAGTTAAGGAACTTAAGTTTTATGGTAAAAATAATATTGTATTGAGTTTTCCAAGTAGAATATTACAAACACAAATGCTGAGTGTAAATATATATGATTTTGAGAGTTCTTGCAGCTATACAGTATTGGACAAAACATTTGCAACTGATATCGAACAATGATAAAAATCATTAGTAAACTTTAATTTTCTATCATCGAAAAGGAGTAAGTTACTGCAGTCGATGGTTTAGGAGTCTATGATTATATCAACTATCCAATTGATAATTTTGCCTTGGTCAAAACAAGTGCAACATTACACTTTCGTTCGTTTTTTGTTTTCAGTAGAAGTGTTGATAATTAAGTGTAACAGGTTTTGTTTTACTGTAAAAGTGTTGTACGTTGTGTTATTCAATTATCGAAAGGTAAATATTGCTCAATATACCTTGAAAACTACAAATGTTATTTTTTTTTATTATTTATGACATCAAGTACCAAAATGGCTCCTGACAACCTTGGATTGGAACTAAGAAAGAAAATGATCGATGACTGCGTGTGCGGAATGTCACATACAATCATTTGTGAGAAATATCATGTAAATAAATCGACCATATCAAGACTATGTTCCAAATTTCGTTTAACCGGGAAGATTGCTGTTGACCACAAAAATCAAAGACCACTAAAGAGGATTCTATGATCGTCAGATGCATTAAGAAGGATCCTTTCAATCATCCTTCAAGGTACAAAAACAACTACACTAATAAAGTTCCACACATTTTTATTGACGAATTTTCATAGGAAATTCCACGTGATTTTCATGTGACCACACATTAACAGAATCCACCCAGAAGCACATATGGAATTTATGAGTCAAATGAATAGTATGAGTGGTTGCACATGGCTATGTGTGCTCATATTAAGTATGTGTCCGACACATAGATATCATTTGTTGATCACATTGCAGGAATTCATTTGTGGGACACATAAAAACAATCTTTGAAATTTTATTAGTGTACAGCTATCTGTATCGGACATTATAATCAGGTGACGTGCCGTTGAAGCCGGATTATTCTCCTGACGCCCTGTGACGAAACCTTTGATATCACTAAAAAATCAGAAGAAAAGACTAGTGTAAGCTCAATCTCACGTAGGCTAGAATGTGTAAAAATGGCATGCCTTCATATGCTGGTCTGCAGCTAAAATTGTTTGCTGGGTGTCTTGTTCAGTGATGAGTCGAAGTGCCATTAAGATGGATATTTCAACAAGATAACGACCCCAAGCACACTGCCAAAGTCATCAAACAGTGGTTTAAGGATAAACACAACGGTGATGGACTGGCCACCCCAATATCCAAATCTTATCCCTACCGAGAACCTTTGTGAGATAGTGGATTGAATAGTCAATCGTGACGGTGTTTGCAATATCCTTATTAATCCTTCAATTGTTTGAACAAATCCAAAATGCTTTTGAAAGCGATTCCTCAAAGCTTCATTGACCACCTGATTTAGTTTATGCCTCAAATATGCAAGACTGTAATAGAAAATAAATGATTCGCTACGAAATATTGAAAGCCACATATGCGAAGTTGCACTTTTTTTTGTCCAGGAGGAACATTTTTGTTTGTACTTTTGGCAAACGATGGTTTTGGTACGATGATTTGTCTGTAACCCTTAAATGAATAAGTTCATGATTGTGGCTGCCGGCGCCGGTGGTGTAGTGGTATGCGTGACTGCTTTCTAACACCTCGATGGGTCTGGGTTCAATCCCAGCCGAGGTTGGATGGGATTTTTCTGAGGCATAAAAATCTCTGGTCACGTCTTCCTTTGGAAGGGAAGTAAAGCCGTTAGTCCCGGCCCATGTGTATGTGTGTTGAATGGGTGCGATAACCTACGCAGGTGTGGAAGCTGCCTTCCTGCACATTTGATTGCCGTCAATGGATGGCAATCGATGTCCGTCGGTGATTGGCACTAGATTGCGGAACAGAGACCGACGTTAAATAAAGGTAAAAAAATGATAGTGGTTGATTGGTTGGTTGCAAATGTTTTGTGCAATACTGTGCATGTTTTTATACACTACGTATAACATTGGAGAGGTATATGTTCAGAGGTTATAGCTGATTATATCTATTTAAAATGTTTCTAAAAAATATCTATTAGGGTGTCACTCCATTTTGCGATACACTGTATGTGTCGGACACATACTTAATATGTGTACAGTGTACACATAAAAGCCATGTGTGACTACCAAGGAATCAAAAATATCTCCAAATGACAAAATAACAAGCGATCAACGAACCGAATAATAACACTATGTCAGAAGTTGAAAACAATAATGATATAATCTTCACCGTTCTTTTTCATGACAAGCAGCTCGTGCGGTCGACTCATTCGGGGCGGTAGAAGGAAACGAGCAAATTGTTGGCAAGCTGCTTCACGAAGTAAAGCCGAAGATGATACACGTGTGTTAATGGGAATTTTTTTGTTATGTCTTTTCCCGATTCATATCAAGCTATGTCCTCATCCGTGTATATTGCAACAAAGCAGGCAAGCAATATATCATTATCCTTCTACCACTCGGATCGAGCTTTGTTACAGAGCGAGTTTGTCATGGTAGTCGTAGCAACCGTTTTGTCTGTATCGTTGGTTGCTTTATGTGTTTGGATTCGCTGGTGACTACACATGCTATTCATTTGACACATAATTTCATGTGTACTTCTGAGTCGATTCTGTTTATGTTTGGTCACATGAAAATCATGTGGAATTTCCCATTAAGATTCGACAATAAAAATGTGTGGAATTTTTTGAGTGTATGGTATTTATATAGCTTTGAAGCATCATACCCTTAGTCAAAAAAATGTTATAAAAAAAATTAATTTCATTGCACAATCCGAAACAAATCCTCAGTGATGGATTACCCGAAAAAAATAACAACAAAAATACAATAAAAAACAATGTAACAATAAGACGAAAATTATTGTCTTAACAATGATTTATATTGTTACGTCTACAATAAATTTACCTTGATTTATGTTGTACAAAACAGCAAATTTCATGGTAAATGGAAAATTTACAATAAAAAAGGGGGGTTGTTAAGTATCTTAACAATGAAATTTTCGTGATTTCCGCATACAATTTTTTTTTCAATGCATTATATATTATTGTTATTTTACTGTTGGTTGACGAATTTATTGATTTAAAAAAAATAACAGTGTACTTTAGAGTGTATGTTTTGGCTTGACAGATCTACTTTATCGACTTTTAAAATAAATCGAAAAAAATAAAACATCGCCCCGGGAAGGGAAGGGGGGGGGGGGGGGTATGTATGTTACGGATGAGTCCTTTTTTTACTGGTTATGGATTGAGATTCGATCCGGAACTTGTGAGAAATTAAGGCCAACTCCCCTGCACTCGATCTCCCTAGGTCACGTCTCCTTGGTGGTTGAGCGTCGTTGATAAGTTAATGAATTCGACTGGAGAGAATCGCCCATGAAATATGCTTCCACCTGAGAGTTTCTTCCTGACATCTTCAAGTGGTGGAATTTTTTATTATTATTGACTGCACGAAAAAGGTCTGCATTAAGCGGGATTTAGGATAAGAGATGAGCGGACGCGGACTGCCTGGTTTTGAGCCATACGAGCAGCGCCTATCTTCTATCTATAGTCTACATGCTTCAATCAGATTTATTTTTATTGTTCGTGAAGTAACCCACAATGAAAACACACCAATATTTAATGTAACAACAATTTTTATTGTAATAGAATTGTTCATTATTGTTCATGATCGAATCATGTTACCAATAAAATAAATGAAAAATACGATAAAAATCATTGTAACAACATTTTATTATGTACATTCATTGTACAGCTAGGTAGCAGTTTTGCCGTTTTCGGAAGGGTACAACATTATAACAATAATTTTTGTTGTCGACAATAAATATTAATGTTAGAACATTGTTTCCACTGAAAATTTCACTGTAATTTTTTTTTCGGATAGCTCTTGGCTGAAAGCCACTATAATACAGTAATAGAAAAATTGAACAAATCCTAGTGAGTAGAAGTATTGAGAATCTGTTGGGATATTAAAAGAAATTATTTTGATGTTATTTTTTTAATAATAACGAATTTTATACAACCATTGAACTTTGTTCCCCTATATCCAAATTCTTGTAGCTAATCAGTAAATTCTCCCTTACTCGATATTCAAAAACATTCAAAGCATCATCGATTTAGGAAGATATTAAGTAAAAATGATGAATACATTATGGATACCAAATTCTCTCATGTCAGCCAATTTATTTAAAATTTATTTTGATGTGAAACTATAAATCTTTTAATTAGTAAATTTTTTAACTTTTATTTTATCATAGAGATTTTTAGCCGAAGGCTAGTTCATCTCTTCTTGGGTTCAATCGCATTCGGCGCCACCGGGATGTTCTGAGGCCTAACATCTCTGATGACGCCTTCCTTCGGGGAAGAGGGAAGTAAAGCCGTTGGGCCCTGATTCATGAGTTGATGGGTTGATAGGTAGGGTCCAGGTGTGGGAGCTGCCTCCCTGGCGTCGGTACTGCTCAGCAAGGAAAACAAGATCGACGGAAAACAAATCAAGGAAAAAAAAAAAAATTTGTGCATAAGCGTTTAGTTTGGGAGAACTTTCCTGCTGCCTTGAGTCTCGATATGCATACAGGTGTGCGGGGTCTATATATGGATATAAAAAAGATTCCCAACTCCAACTGCATTTCCTCAATCGAAACAGGGAAACATATTCTATGAAGGGAACAGAAAATTGGTGTTTCCTTTGTAAGACGGAGGGAAATTGGATGAATTCCTGTCCCAGTACAACAACGAACGGAAGAAGAAAACCAACAATGGAATGAGAAAGAGCAGTATCAGTAGTGACGCCAAACGAGGAAGTGGTTGAGGTGCTGGAAGAAGAGGTGGTGGTGATGGATGTGACGTCCTGGACACCGAGAAGAACAATGGAGAGGAAGCAAGCGCTCCTGAGAAACAGTTGCCGCCTGTTTTCAAGTTAAAAAATGATGCATATTACTACTGTAAATTCGGGATAGTGGATTATACCGAGAAGGAGCGGATAAAGGACGAAGAGTAGGCCAAGTGACGGGTGCTGCTGGAAGGAAAACAATTGAAAGAAGCAAGGAAATTGAGGGCAAGAATGAAACTGGAAGCTAAACTCAAGTCGCCTCCAAGTAAGAGTAAGAAGATCTCATAAAGAATGTACCTCATACATATTTTATTGTAAATATAAAAGTGTTTAATGGTTCTCCCCTCCGTGGAGTCATTTTGGACACTTGAGCCTTACAATAAACTGATTAAAAAATAACTGTTCTGCCTCGAGTAAATCAAAGTTTTTTTTTATTATAGGGACTTTTAGCCATAGGCTAGTTCATATCTTAGTAATTCAAAGTTTTCTTCTGTAGACACTTTGAAATTAATACATAAGGGAACATGCATATATTTTGTAGCATTTTAAGAGGAAGGGAGGGCTGCAGAAGTTGTAACCGGCCGGAAAATACGCTACGATGATAAAATCTTTGAAGTTGGCGTGCGTAGTTTTCACTTGCACAAAAGGGAACATTTAGTAAAATTAGTCAATATTACCATACAACATTAAGGAAAGCCAAGTATGTTTTGAAATTCCGTGTAAATCCTAGTGAAATTTGAAAGAAAAATGATACGGTAAAAATAAGAAGAAGAAGATGTGGCTGTATTTTAACGTACACATCTCAGAAGGAATGATCCAGACTAGTTACCCTAATAAACGGGTACCATACAATTACGATATCATAGATGGTACGACCATACCGCATAAAGTTGGGATGATATTCCGAATTGGTGGTTAGGCGCTTTTTATGGTTATTGTTTATGCGGGTACAATCTGGAAGAAAATACAGTTTACTCTCAGCTGTTGTCGAGTCAAGACCTGCAATCGCAATTGTACCAGTCAGTGTGGCACACGCGTTAGGAGCTATTAACGGTGTGCTCGTTGCATACAATTTTGTCGTTACGGTTGAAAGTAAAAGGTTGGATATGTCCGTTAAAATAAAGCTTACAATCAACTACAGCTTCCCCAATGGAAGTGCAAAACTCACTTTAGTGAGAATTACAAAAAAATTGCGGTAGCACTGGATGCAAATCTCGTTTATATGGAAGCAACTAACCGGATTGCGGAAGATTGCTGCATGCATTGACGTATAACTCGCAAGATTTAACGTTCCATTATGTTAAGGAGATGTACGCGATTACATTCAATATGTGCGAGTGTTCGATTTACAACCGGAGGTTCCGGAACGTGATCTAGCGTTGGCGCTAAGGAAATCTGTTCGTTTAATTTTCATCCGGGAGAAATTCCCTGCAGAGCTGTGCTTTGACACATACACAGGTGTACGAGGGGTATATATGGATGTGAAAAGGAAAATTCCCACCTCACCGCAAAACAAATCTAGATAGAGCAGGAATTAGGGCGTAACAGCTTTTGTAAACAATCGGAATCCGGAATCTTGGACTTAACGGAGAAGCAACGGATATAGCGTGTAGCGAGAGAATGAAAGGAATATAATTGAAGATATAATTAAGTTGCAGGCCTCCCTTAGCTCAGTCGGTAACGGCGCAGTTACAAAGTAAGGTGGTAGCTGGATTCGATTCCCAGTCCGGTGTAGGAATTTTTCGGGTTAGAAAATGTCTCAACTTCCCTGGGCATAGAGTATGATTGTACTTGCCACACAATTATTTAATTATACTAATGCAAAAATGGTACAGGCATCGAAAGTTCTCAATTAATAAATGTGGAAGTGGTTATATATGTTAGAACACTAAGTTGAGGGCACGCAATAAGCTTGAAATGCAAAGAAGAAGAAGAAGAAGAAGAAAAATGAAGTTGCAGCAAAACAAGCAGAAACAAGCAAAGTGACTCTCCTACAAAAAAAAAAAACACCCATTAGGAAAAAATCCGTCACGCTTTTGGCTCCTTAGAGTTTGCAAAGACAGTTGAGCCTTAATAAATAAGTACATATGTGACACAAAATCTGAACGGGAATTCTATTCCCTCCTACATACACTGTTTCCTTTCGCTCACATTATCGGAGACTAGACAGTCACACAGTTGAAAAGTTCACTACACGCTAGACTGAATGAGCTTTGGAGACGACAATTTTTATTTTATTAGAAGACATATTTTATTAATTAATTAATGGTATAATATAAAATATATCTAATAGTAAAAAATAATGCGTCATAATTGAAAAAAATATTCATTATAGATGTTATAAATGCAATCGATAAATAATTTTGAAATATGCACCATCAAGACGTTTTTAAAGATAGCCGCAAGATGGCAAGTTTTGTAGGCCTATAGATCAATGCATTAACACTGAAAAAAAGTAAACCTATTAAATAGTTCAATTCTACAGCAGTTCCCATTTTTTGTTTCTTACAGATATCTTGCCCTAAGCCATGGCAGAAGAGGAAGACAGGGCAACTCGTTACGAAGATGTGTGGAATCGGGTCAAGGTTTATATCCCGTTTTTGCAAGAGCTGATAAGTTTCTACAAAAATGATTCTCATCAAAATCGGCAGCAACAGCTGCAGAAAATAATAACGATTTATGATCTGCTCACCAACCAAAGGTATTATTTTTTGTAGTTTTTCTACTCATGCATCATTAGAATTACAATGACACACAAAACTGCTAAAAACATTTTGTTTTCTTATTTATCTCTTAGATTGAATTACCTGTCTTTGTGTAAGTGTGAGAAGGTGTTGATCAAATTGTATGAAACGGTTCGTATGTTGTATTGAAAAATAAAATTTCGAATTTGAACAAATTGTTCATTGCAGAATCCTTTGAGGAAAGCAGGAGAATCATCAACAACGGATGAATCTGGATCCTCAACAAAAAACCAAAGTGATGGAGACAGTCCGGCATCTCCTGGTGATTCAGACGCACTACCTGGATCGGACCTGTTACTTGAACGAAGAACTGAAGAGGATATTCCCATAGCATCGGATTCTCAAGCTAAACCGGGTACTTCAGCAAAACCAGCTTCGTCATTCGAACTGGATTCTCCAGCAGAACCAGACACACCGGCTGAACCGGACAGCCCAGCTGAACCGGATACGCCAGCCGAACCGGACACTCCGGCTGAACCGGACACGCCGGCCGAACCTGATTGCTTTGCCAATTCAGATTCGATTTTGGAACCACTAAGTCCAGAAACGGATAATGATGAACTCTGGGATGACCCGCAACCAAAAAATAGAAGAAATATTGCAAACAAGCCACCATTGTCGTTAGATGAAATTACTAGACTGATTACGAGTGAATCGAAACCCGGTGGAACGAAAAGTCGCAGCAGCAGCAACAACTTGTCCAAGGTTATCAACGATACTTTGAAAGTTTTCCAAAAGCCTACATTCGACGAACATGCTCGTAATCCTTCACCACCGTACGAGAACTCACATCAAGGTCGGAATGTGAATGTTCCTTACTCTCCAACTTATTCACCGCAAATTTCCACAAACCATGGTGCGCGTTGGGAGGCTGAGAATGATGCTTTTGGCGTCTTCCCGCATCCAGTGAATAGTTCATATCGCAACTACTCCGGGCGCAATAGTAATAATATTGACCTAACACCCCGACCACAGTCACCTCCCTTGTACCGTCGCAGGGATGATATAAAACGCTTCCATGATGATCGTATGGATATCTCTCCGACGTATTCTTCACCTTCAGACAACCGAGCACCTAGTGGGACAGCTCCTGCTGTTAACATGAAGGATCCCCGAATCAGAAAAGCAGTCGAAAGCAACATGCACGTGCATTCTCCTGAGCCCTTGGGGCCAGATAGAATGAATCCATTTTTCCCAACTATGAAGGCCAACGATCCGCGTTTGAATCGGGTAAATGTTTCAATTCCTCCGGCACCTACACCGAATGAGCTGCCACGGTGTGTAGCTCCAAACCCGAATCTGCCCCTGGACTTACCCAAAAAAGATCCCCCTAAACGGCGTCTGAGCATTTGTGCAAATCAGGTAATCATCGAGGAGATACCTCCAGAACCTGTTATGCTGCCACCCAGGTCGTTTCCGGTTCGACGACAGAGCATTTGTGGGGATTTTAACGTCAATCGAAATAATGAACCTTTCCATGGAACATCATTCCTACCGGCACCACCTCCGATGCAGTCAATGGTTACACAGCCGATGCTACCGCCCATGCTACCTCCTCCCCATCCGCCACAGCCACCGCTTATGTTACCTCATCCGCATTCGCCACATCCCATGCAACCGCCCATGCTACCTCCTCAGCAGTCTATTCCAGTTATAGTCACCCCACAATCCATCGAAGCTCCTTCGGTGGCCGAAAGAGATCCACGGCGGAAGCACTTGCCACCTGGGGCTGAATACATGCAAATTCACCGCCAAAATCAACAACCATCCAATCGCTTTCAGTACGCACCATCTGGACCCAGCAAGGCACCGCTCACCTACCTAGAATACCGCCGTCAGAAAGAGATCGACCAAAAACACCGCAAAGATCAAAACAAACCGAAAAATTGCAGTTCGGAAAAAGTCGATAAGGATAAACAAAACAGTGCGGAGAAAGAGCAGGTCAAACAAAGCGAGGAAATCGATATTACTATAGGAATGATTCCGAACAAGAATCGAGTAGCTGCAAAGGCATACGCAAAACCGGCAAAGTTTTGCCCGCCGAAAGAGCGCCGTTTTTCTCCGGCCATGAAGGAAAAGTCTCGCACGGATTCCAAATTTACCACGAAGTCACATAAGTATGATTCCCCTTCTACGTCGCAGAAGACAGATAAAAGGCGAGAGGAATCGGAAAAGGACAAAATTAAACCCGTACCGAAGGCCAAGGATCTCTTCGGTGAGCAGCTATCACAATTTGACAAGATGTACCGCAGTGGCGACTTTTCGAAAAAAGCCGCACCATCGTCTGGAATTGGAGGATTTAAGATTCCCAAAATAAAGCGAGTTGAGAAACCCAGTGAACCGATTATCAAACCAGTAGAAGCAGTACAACACACGAGTCAACGTAAGGAAAAGTCGAAGAGCAAGTCACCGGAACCGCCGAAGAGTATGGTGCAAGATGATGACGACATGTGGGATAGTGAGATTGACAAGAAGTCCACTGAGACCAGACAACAGGATAAGGAAAGTCCGAAAGATAAGAATACGTCGCTGAAATCTCTCCAAGATGACGACTTCTGGGACACAGAACCAAGTGGACCGGTGAATGAACCGGAACAGGTAGCTCCTTTGATTGATGGTACCATTACTTCAACTGCTACAGCTGCTACGGTAACGGAAATTGCGGAAGGCGGCGGTGATAAGCAAAAGGAAACCACAATTGAAAAACCGCAAGATGTGTTCCAGATTCCGAGCTTACCGGCTCCTCGTCGAACACTGCGCAGAAGAAATTCGGTTGCGGTTCACTACAACGAGATCGACATGCGGACTAAATTAACTGTACAAGCAATTGTTGCGCCAACCAGAATCAGCACACGTCGTAACTCGGTTGCGGTCTCTCAATTGGAGGACGATGGCAGAAATGCGGAAAAGGTTGAGAAGGAATTGTCGTCGGGTAAGGAAGAGACTGAACCAGAAGAAGACATCGTTGTCCGACCGCGCCGGACTCGTAAGCGAAAGCCTGTTATTGAAGACGACGATGAGGATGCATGTGGTGCTAATGCGGACGCTGAATCGAAGGAGCAGCAGTCTTCGGAATCGGATGTGGCAGCAGAGGGCAGTACAGTGCAAGAATCATCAATGGCTACGGCGAAGGAGGACAGTAGTGATAACGTTGTGTCTAGCACAACTACTGATACGACAGCCAAGAAACGTAAGCGAGGTCGAAAGAAGAAGGGATCGGCGACGTTAATTAACGAAGGAGATGTATCGAGTGATGCCAGCCATGATAGGTCAACTGATGTTGAGTTACCCGTCGAAGCAAGCTCAAGTGCTATTAAGGACGAACAACTTGTCGATGTTGAAGAAGATCCGTGTACCAGTGAAGCAGCGAGAGAAGCAAAGGAGGAAAGAGAAAACAAAGAAATGGTGGAAGGTTTACTCAAGGGCTCGACAAATCCAGATAACAAAGTTAAATTGTTGGAAATGTTGAGCAAAATACTAGATGAGAAGAAGCTGAAAAAAATTCAGGAGATTATAGAGAGCCCTAGTGATAAACACATTGCTAGCGAGTCGCTTGAATTGCTAGCAGCGAACGCCGTTGCAGAAAATGTTGCAGAAGGAAACCGCGAACGCACAGCATCCACGTCAATAAGTTCAACGAACGAAGCCTGTGAGAAGGAAAAAGCATCTGCTAAAGGCAGAAAGACCGAACTGGACAAGTTAAACGAAGATATTGCCGAGATGTTCATTAGAGATGGTGTATTGAGCGCAACCGGACGGAGGAGCTGTACCAAAAGGCAGAGCTTTGTTTCTCCAGTTAAGCGTGCTAAGTCGAGGAAGTCGTCTTCTGCCCCAGTCGTACTGAATCTCAAGAAAGGTATGGAATTCAAACTGACTGAAAAGGTTCATTTGAAACGCTTGAGAGTGGTTGTTCAAAAAGTTGATTTGTCTACAGTTGACCTACTAGTAAATCCTAAACCGAAGACGGGAGTAGACAAAAGTGCGACCATTTACGAAACCGAAGATGACGTGGCATCCATTGCATCGAGCGGAACGTCAGTTTCACCGAGATCTAAGAAAAAGAAAAGAGGTGGTTGGGCGTCTGGTACGGTTCCGAAAAGGAAGAAAAAGCCGGAAACGAAGCAAGCTCCTTCATCTCCGCCGAAAACGTACGCACCGAAACCAGTGACCAAGAATGTGAACAAAGAGTTGCACTGCAAAAGCGATAAAGTCAAAGATTGTGCGTTGTGTTCGTATGTTGGTCCGCTGAGTGGAATTGTTCAACACTATGTCCGTAACCATCCGTTACACGAGGTATACGTTAGCCGTATCCCAAACGATGTAGCTGTTAAGCTGAAAAAAGAGCCACTGTTGGTGACAGGCACTATGAGCGACCAGAATATAACATTCAAATGTATTTTCTGCCAGGAAGTCCTCAGCAAGAAAAAGTACAACTGGAAACTACATTTGGCCAGTCATACAGGCGAGTATAGGTACAAATGTAACAACTGCACCATCAAATCGTTGGTACCGAGTACCAATGCACACGACAGCGAATGTGTTGGCCCAGCAATGGACGTTACGAATGATGTGATGTTCAAGGAGAATCACATTCACGGTTATATGTGTCGGTTGTGTAATTTCGTTCAACTGTCACGACCAAAAGTGGATGCCCATATGAAAGAGGAGCACGATCGCACCGTTTCTGGTAACGGCATACTACGGTTTAGTATTTTGAACTACGAAGAAAAGTTGGAATCGAAGTCGAACGATACCTTGGAGTCGGATATTTCGATGCCGGAGCTTACTCCACAGGCCGCAATCCCCAGCCAAACCAATATGTCCGCTTTCATTTCAAGTGCAAACGATGAAATCGAATCACTGAAGGTGCTCAATGATCGTAACTTTGTATCACCTTCAAAACCGTCGATTATCGACAAGCTGAAGAAGAATTTAGATGAAATTATGAGAAAGGATGCAGAGAAAGCTAAAGGTGATGAAGACGAGTGGGAAGATATTGAATCGCCTCCCAAAGCGACACAACCGCAAAAAGTTGCTCCGAAGCGCGTTGAAAAAGTCAAACGATCGCTGGCAGGTGCCGCAGTATTGTCCGATGACATTCCAATGCCAACGCCACTTGATATGAAGAAAGAAAACGTCGATATTTTTGAGCACAAACAAGTGGTTTCAAATATTGGTTACAGTAAAATCAACGAGAAGATCTGGTACCTATGCTTGATTGAAGACTGTAAATATGCAAGCCAAACACGATCGGAGATGTACTCCCACGTGGAGGAACAGCATGGAAGCATTGTTTGGGATGGATACTGTTACCTGTGCACGGCTCAGGTTTTGAACGAGGAGTCCGGTGTTTTGGCAAAGGAGGTTAAGCACATGGCGGTTATCCATATTAAGGATCGAACTGCATTTGATGAGCTCAATGAACCACCGTTAACTAGTTCTTCGTCAAATTTGATCGACGATCGACCAATGTTGAAATTGCGTAGGTTTTCCGGAGATAAGCTCTCGATCGGTACTGCCGAAGAATCGATTAATCTGAAACCTTGGCTCCAGTCACCAGCGGTAAAAAATCGCGCCCATTGCCTAAACATGCTGGAGCAGAAAAGCCTATTTTGTTTTTACAAATGCATGGGAGAGAGTTGCTGTTTTACTACTACGATCGAGACACAAATGGAGAAGCACATCGATAACCATGAACTGGTTGGAGATATATCCGGAGCTGGAACGTTGAAAAGCTGGTTAGAGTGCGCTTACTGTCACATCGTTGCCGAAGGAAAGATTGATTTGTTGCGCCATTTGAGGGTCGTGCACACTGGAAGTGCATATCAATGCGCCTATTGCTTCTACCGAAGCCGGGAGGCGTATAATGTGGTGCTACATCAGAAGCTGCACCATGAAAACGAGAAGGCTGCAGTGTTGGTGTACGAGGCTGACAAGCGACCGTTGACACCCGCGGACTATGAACGTCTCAATCGTAGACCGACAGAAAACATCATGCAGTTGATCTGTACAGGTAAGAGATTTTATTATATTACTGTTGGATAAAATTCATGCTTTGCAACAATTTATGTCTGTAGTACTTAGGGTTGCATACTCTTATTGGTAAGACTAGATTAGGTCTCAACACTGTTAAGAATATTATAAAAAAAACTATGTACTCAACGTTTGCGATCCAAGGCATAACAGTTACATATTTGCTTGATTTCATATTCAAATGGGACAGTTCTGCGTTTATGCGTAGTTTGCTTATCTTATATTAATTTCTAGCCCCTGGAAGGCGGGCTTTTCTATACCTAGCTGTGTACCTATTATACAGTATGACTGCACGGAACGGAAATGACACGTAAAAACCATTGATCTACGCTATTGGAAAATCCTACAAAACGTATCTTTTTTTTTCCAGGTTGCTACTGTTCTCTGAAATATGTATCTTAAATGATGGTCAAATGAAAATCATTGAAATTCGAAGCGCTATCTTCATTGCACACCAAATTAAATTTAAAGAATTTTCCAATTGCGATTAGGTGTAGTTTTGCTTCAATGTGAGCAACTTCACGTAATGGCCAATGGTGAAATAATCCTTTTTAATTTAATTTAAGATATCCCTAATAAAATGTATATGGTTATTTTGCTTAACGACGTGTTCGCGGTATATCCAACCCATTTGTGGAATAGTTCAATCATTTGGGTTATCTTTCTTTTTTTTTTATCAGGGATCGCTTTGAAAATTCCAATGAAAGTTATATCAACAATCAATACGAAACTAAGGATTTTAAATTGGCTCACTACTTTAGTAGCCTATTGGTCCCAAGCAAACGATTAACGTACCCTATTGTAGTTGAAATTCTATTACTACACTATGTTTGTTTTGATTCGCTATGAAAGTTTGACAGATAACATCAGGGGTGTGTGGATTCATGCAGAACATGCAGGGGTGAGTGAAATAGCTTGGGACTGCTTGGGACCGTTGTTCTGGTACTGAGTGAGCCAAAAATAATAATGATTTTCTTCGGGACCCAGTGGTCTTAGAGTTACCTCTATGGTTATATGTCGATGATTTTTATATGACCATCATGAACAGTCCAAGCAACAATTTTGGTTTTATAACGCTCTTGAAGACCATGGTTTAGGCTTGTAGAGAGCTTTAAAACCTCGATAAAACTTGTATTGTTACTTGGGAGTAGCAACCTGGAAAAAAATAAGTTGGTAGTGGTAGTGGTGTTGAGTACTTGCACAGGAGTGGAACTTCGGATCAGAAAGTGGCTCCACTTGTCATTTGCGAACACTAGCGCACCTAGCGGTAGAAGGCATCTTCTGCCTGCAGTTAAGATAGGCAGCATCCTATGATAGTGTGAGTGCACATAGAAAGACCGTGTGGAACGCTACCACAATACATCGCTTATTGAGCAGAAAAACGAACCACCTTTTGATTCACCGATTTGTTTGCACTTCCCGTTCTGTTCTGCACTGATGAAGGCTGCAAGTAGTAGACGAAATACGCGTATCTGTCAAAAGAAAAGCAATTATAACGGAATTAAAAAGAAATAAATCAACACACTCAAAAAACTTTTGTTCTCCTATTATTTCGTGACTTTTGTCTAAATTTAAATGGTGATGAAATGTGATACATGGTCTTGAAAATTTAATTTGTGAGAAATTGGAAAATATTAAAAGTTTAACCAACTAGCAATGAATGATCAGCGAAGTTCATTTAGGACGATTCAGTCGGAATTGGACCAAAATACCAGGCGCAAAAAACGTAAAATACAAAATAGTGACAATGATGATGATGATGTTTTTCAGGAAAATGCGAGTTTTGCGGATGTTGTAAAACTATTAGTAACAGTAATAGTAACTCTAAGACCAGAAGGTCCCGAAGAAACGTGCTCAACTTTTTGGCTCAGCTCTGGTACTCTCTTCGGTCCCAAGCTAATCGATGCACCCCTCAAAACATAGGAAAATCCACGAACCCCTCATTTTATCTGTCAAACTTTCAAAGCAAATCAAAACAAACATAGTATAGTACTAGAATTCAGACTAGAATAGGGTACGTTAACGATTTGCCTGGGACCAATAGGCTAGTCAAGTAGTGAGCCAATTTAAAATCGTTAGTTTCCATCGGTTGGTAATAGTAAAAAGTAACAAATCAGATAATCGTAAGACTCGTCCGGTCATTGTGATCAAACCGCAAGAGGCCAAACAAACCTTGCAAAGATACTCGTAAGTTATTGAAAACTCAGTTGGATCCAAAAACAAAACACACAGAATCAGTAACTTTAGGAATGGTAAAGATGGCTCCATTGATGAAGTAATGAAATTGGGTTGTTAGCGGAATGCTTTAATAAAACAGCAAAAAAAGGTTATTTAAACTAAAGTGGGAATGACACTGATGAAGACTGCACATTGTAGTCGAAATACGTATCTGTCATGGATACCAAAATTAATTAAGTGGAATTAAATGGAAGATAACCTTTTTATGGCTCCATTATTTTTGAGTGCACGCTATTTCAAAACTACCCAAATTTGGGTAGAATCCACCCAGATCCGTCAAAACTGAACCTACCCAAAAATCGGTAAACTGTGTTGGAAGTAACAAGTTGACAAATGAACAACGTCGATCGGATTCATATCAATGTGGTTTCCCCATTTTTGGGTAGGTTCAATTTTGACAGATCTGGGTGGATTCTACCCAAATTTGGGTAGTTTTAAAATAGCGTGTGTGCAACAGCAGCAAATGTAAGTGATGTGAAAAATGGTATTGAAAGCAATCTGGGTGAAAACTATAGTGCTGTTGTTCCCACTTCGGTGCCAAGATTGAAAAAAGTGGGCATGAGCGATCAGTTTTCCTCCGATGTCTTCATTGACTATTTAAAAAGTCAAAATGAAGACATCGCTATAAATAATGTAAAAGTAGTGAACATGTTTGAAAATCCACGCTTCACTTATAATAAGTTTAGTGTTGTAATTGAAGTCGATGTCGATACGTATAAATGTTTGTTATGTGCGAAAAAAGTAAATGTAGGGTTTGATCGGTGCTCGATAGTTCCCGCGATTAATGTGTTGAGAATTTGGACACAAGAGTATGGATTGCAAAAATTGTGAGAAATGCTCTAGGTGCAGCCAACAACACAAAACGTCGGAGTGTACGTCAACTGTATTGAAATGTGTTAATTGTTTGAAAATAAATAGAGAACGTAAAATGAACTTGGATGCCAACCATGCCGCATTTAGCTCTGCATGTTTGCTCTACAAAAGACTTTTTGTACAGAAGAAAAGCAGCTTGCGTTTTAATAAATAGCAGCCAAGCTCTAGGTATGTGAATCAATTCAATTTTTTTGTATTTGAATATTGCGTCCACTTTAAGTTTTATTAGCTGAAACTCATATAGTAGAACATGAAGCTTTTAATCAATATAGTATTCCGGGATATATTTGCTGCTTGTTTATCATATTCTAGACAAACTGGCGGTGTTGCTATTTATGTCAAAGAATCAGTTCAATTCGACCTTCGTATCAATGAAGTTATCGATGGTTCTAGTGACCAGCGTTTTGTTGAAGTTTTAGAGAACTGGCTCGAGATATTCCTTGATTCTAGTAATTTAAATATATTGGCTGGTGATTTTAATATTAATTGGTGTGACAATCATAATTCGAATCATTTGAAACGTTTAGCTGATTTTTTTTAATTTAAAACAAATAGTAGATGAAAATACGCGTATTTACAGGCACAGTAAAACTTTAATTGACCACGTTTATTCCTATTTTGATTCCATTTGTTCAGTTACGGATACTGATTTGAAAATAACCGATCATGTTACCTTAGTGATTAATGTATTAGATAATATCAATAACAACGATGAATTGAGGAAATATTCGAAACAGGCTGTTTCGAATCTTGTTGAGAGGAGTGTGGATTTTCCATTCGCAGCCGGTAATTTAGATGAATCCACAGCTGTTCTTAATAACGCTTTGAAAACGTGTACCAATCAACTAGTTGAGCAAAAGTTTGTTTCTTTGGAAAACTCGAACAGCTGGTATAATTTGGATCTTTTGCGTCTTATACCCCGGACAGACTATGGCTTATATCATGTAATATAGGCTGTTTTGCAATGAGCACTCATACATAGGATTTCCAGTGAAAACTAGATGTATGAGTGCTCATTGCAAGAAAGCCTATATTACATGATATAAGCCATTTTTTTCCTATGTTCGGGACCTAACACTACTGCGACCAGTAAATTGATCTATTGTAGTATATCCCGTGTCCTTAGTTTAGTGCATGTCGTATTACTCCATCACTATTGAGAAATGATGAAGTATTCGATTTTTTTACAGTTGCCACTCTTGCATTTATCGCAAGGATCCGACTCTAATTGAAAGGTCCCGCTATTTATACCCTTCGGAGTGTTGAAACACCCTCCAAAGGCGCGCCCCTTTGTCAGTCAAAATTGGATTCCTTAGCAACAAAATTAAGGTATGACACCGATAATGACCATGCATCAGAACCCTAGCCTTAACCACTTCAAACTAGGGAACAACGAAGAGAAGATTAGGAATCACATAGATGAAGACAACTAACTCATTTTTTTTTGCCTTGTTTCAAGATCATCCTCGGTAGACAAAGCCGAGTCTTGTCACTATCAACAAGGCATAAAAAGTATCAAGGACTAAGATGTGTTCCTTGGATTACTGAAAAATCCTGTTCCCCTAGTTTGAAGTAGTCAGGACTAGGAATCGGTGTTTTCATCCCGTAACGTACCACGAAAAGGTGATCTACCCACGTTACGGGGTGATATAAGCCATAGACGGAAAAGGGACAAATGGTACAAAAAGTTTTGTAGATCAAATAATAACAATCATTGGAATAGGTACAGAATCGCGCGTAATAAGTATTCATAATCGATAAAGAAAACTCGTTGTGAATATGTGCAAAGGATGATTTATCAGCATCAAAACAACAGCAAAGAGTTATGGAAAATTTTGAAATCTTTATTAAAACCTAGTAATTGCAAACCGCGGTCCATAACTTTTAATGACACATTAGAACAGTCAGAACAAGTAATTGCATCTAAGTTTAATTATTATTTTGTCGAAAGTGTTTCATTGATTAATCAATCCATTGAATTGGTCGATGAACCTGCCGAAATAAAACAGCCAGTTAATAGTAGTTGTAGATTTAAAGGTTTCACCCTATTACATTAGATGAACTTAGAGTAATTTGCTTTTCATTAGGAAAATCGGCTGGAGTAGATAATGTTAATGCTAGAATTATTAATAAATCATTGCAGAATGGACATGTGCCACAAATTTGGAAGGAAAAAGTTGCTGGAACGATTAAAGCCGAAGAGTTTCGTCCTATCAACATGTTGCACACAGTAGAGAAAATCTTAGAACTTGTTGTTAAAGGCCAGCTGTTGGAGTATTTGAATAGCAACTCATTGTTGATACTAGAACAATCAGGATATCGGGAAGGTCATTCTTGTGAAACTGCGTTGAATTTGGTGTTAGCAAAGTGGAAAGACAACTTGGAGCGTAAAGATACGACTGTTGCTGATTTTTTTTAAATGGTTTGAAAGCTATTTATCTGACAGAACTCAACGGACTGTTATTAATGATTCTGTTTCTAGTCCCGTGGGGAATAACCTTGGAGTGTCCCAGGGAAGTGTATTAGTGCCCCTTTTATTTATTATGTATATTAATGACTTGCGACGTGTTTTACGGTTTTGCGACATTAATCTTTTTGTAGATGATACTGTGTTATTCATTGCAGCTAAGGATTTAGAAGTTGCCGCCTCACACTTTAATGAAGAAGTAGATGTTGAAGTGTAAGCAGTTAAAATTGACTACAAGTAAAACAAAATTTATGGTAATTTCGTGGAATCGATTAAATGAGAACGTCTCTGTTGTAATTTATGATGAGACTATTGATCGCGTTCGGGAAATTAAATATCTTGGCGTGATTATTGATGCCAAACTTAAGTTCACATTGACAATGTTATCAAGAAAATTTGTCGATTGAAAAAGGAATTAACTATTGCCAGTAAAATACAGCATACAAATCAATCATCTCTCCTCATCTAGACTTTTGCCCATCGATTTTATTTCTGTCCAATGAAACACAAATATCGAGATTACAACGCTTGCAGATTGAAATACACTTAGGTCTTTTTTTACACGGGGGATATGTACACAGCAAAAAAATAATTTTGATATCACATCAAAGTGGATGCACTACAATCATGTCGAAAATTTCATGTAATTTTTATGACCACATAAATAAACAAATGCAGTAAAAGCAGCGTAATGTCAGTTCATGCATTGTATTAATGATAATTTTGTCCTTTTTAGTAAGTAATATTACACCATATTTTCGACATGATTGTAGTGCATCCACTTTGACGTGATATCAAAATTATTTTTTTGCTGTGTACCGTGTTAAAAAACCTACGAGATTTTGATTTTTCACATGCTTAAATGTTTTAAAAAAATCGCATTTTTATGCAATTTGTAATTATAGCATGCTATGGTCCATATAGACATATTTTAAAAATTTCTGTATTTACACCAAAAATTGTCATTTTTGTTTAAGTATGCTATTCGATTACCTATAGCTTGAAACGGATAATGTGATTGGAATCAAGTCGATAGGTTGTATCGTTGTCGAGAAATTGCTAAAAACGTACCATGTAAACCGCGAAAAACCGTGTAAAAAAAGGCTTTAGTGTAATGCGTTTGATTTTGCGATGTAATGTAATGCAATGATGTAATTCCTCAACTTTGATGCTGGACGCTTTACAACGTGCAAAAACATTAGCAGAATTTAAGAGACATTGCATTTCACACGTTAAAACTGTCTATTTAACGGTTGTCCACTGATTTGTTTTTTATGAATTGACAAATTATGTATCTTGACGAAGTTATCTATAACGGATTATTTTATATGGATAGCTGTCATAACAACTTTAAATAATCATTGTAGCACTGCAAAAACTTATTTGTTCGGCATGATGGTGATAATGGATTTTTGATATTTGAATTAATAGTAGTAGTAAAATATTTTTTTGAGTAGTCTACAAAAGTTTGAGCCTCGCGCGCGTATTACGGATATAGAGGACTGAATTTAAACTTTGATTAAAAAAAATGCAATTTTGAAGCTTATTTGGAAGATACCTCGAGTTAGTAGTAAAGTTTTCTCGCGCAACGCGTTTAACGATTTTATTGAATGTTATCGTTTTCGCGAACTACTCGCTGAAGCGCTGGTATCTGATCACTTTGACGTTTCTTTATATTCAGTTTTTCTTGCATGCAACATTATTTGCGAATCAGCGAACAAGCTTGTTTTCCGCGAGAAACCCGCGAGATGTCGTTACTGAAATCCTATGTTTGGCGGTACTATGTTTTGAAGATACTTTTATTCAAAGAGTTACGTATGTTTGTCTGTGGATGTTCCATGAGTTATGTCTGTTTAATTAAGAAATTAAGCTGCAAGCAGTTGGAAATGCCCTGAATGCCGCATTTTTTTTAAATTGTATTAACCGTTTCTTGATTCTACCCTATTTACAGTTTGCAACGCGGAATATTGCGTTCTTGATGCGTACATGGCTCACCTCAAGGATGACCATGCCGATGTGACCACGATTGTGTGCCAGTGCTGCAGGGAAACCGTCCAGAAGCTCAAAATTCCGCGCCATCTGCTGCAGCACAATATCGGCATATACGAATGCATCTACTGCCAGTATGGCAGCAATACGATGGAAGCGGTGCAAGCTCACGTGTGTAATCGACACCCACAGGAGCCGCTGTTCTGTTGTATTCGCTACAACAAGACGCCCGGAAAGGTATAGCGTGGATACTTTCCAAGCATTTGCAATTGTTGAACACGCGTTCTATTTTTATTGCAGGTCAAGGAAGCATCGCTTAAATCCCTCTATGAAATGAGCGTCGATGAAGATGCCTTAGTCTACTGCAGTTTCCAGCTGGAGGAACTCAACTACAAGTCACCGGATACGAAGAGCAATCATGATATAAATTTCACTGCTAAGCCGGGAGTGATTCCGTTGCAACTTCCACCAATCCGCATCGGTGACACCAACATTTTCCTAAGTGCTCAGATTCCATCGTCATCGTCATCTACGGAAACGTCCAACCAATCGGTTTTCGTTACTGCCAAAACAGCTGAGATCATCAAGATGCCGATGATATCGTCGGTTTCCGGTGGTGTTTCGCTGTCAGGAACCTCAACAGTACCGATCATCACCGCCGTTCAGGGAAATTATCAAGGACCAACATCGACGGGTTCATCACCGTCACTGGTTATGCCGGTGATATCACATGTGGTTGGAGGTGCCAACGTATCGAATTTGCCCATCATTACCAGGGTTGAAGGTGGTGTCTCTGACGTTGCGAGATTGAAACCAGCTTCCTCCTTGGTAGGTACCAAAATCATAATTTCACCGAACAAGGGGGGATCTGGCATCCCTATCATTACTAACGTCTGTAGTATTGGTCCTTCGAATCATCAGGTCCAAACTCCAAGAGAGGACGATGCCATCATGCTGGAGGCAGAACGAATTGCTATGGAGATGATCAAAGATACTGGTCTACCGAAAAGTATCATCTACAAGTGTATCTTCAAAGGTTGTAATTCGGTACTGCCGGATGGGACCGGAATGCGAAAACATTTGACCTTCTCCCATTTGCCAGCTGGTTCTTACGTTTGTAGCCACTGCAAAAGCAAGCCTTCGTTCCAGAATGTCATGTCTTTTACCCAGCATCTAAAGACACACGAAGCTCAACGAATTTTCTGTTTCATGTGCGATTACAAGGGTTCATTCCCACCGGAGGTGATCAAACATGTGAAGGATGTTCACAAAACTAGTAAGCCTACCATCCTGTTCCTAAACCCAAAGAAAAATGACCCGAACAACGATATTATATTATTTGCACCGGGAATTCCGACGGACGCCGAGAGAAAAGCTTACTACAGAAAGTTAATCGACCTGTATAACCATAAGCTGCAAGCGGCGCTGATTCATCTGAAGACCCATTTCGCTCCGGAAGAATGCGAAAGCCTCCCAAAACAGGCAATATTCAGTCAAACGGTATTCTGCAGTAAGTGCCAGTACAGTACCAAAGTTAGACTGAACATGTATCGGCATTTGAAGGGTCACTTGAACGATATGCCTGTTTCGAACATGGATCCCAAAAATCCAGTACCTTGCTGGGGGCAAGGAGAAAAGCATTTTGATCGAATGAGAAACCCCGCTGCCAGTTCGCAAGAGGACGACGATCTGATCCAATCGTTATGCTTCGTACAGGAGAACAAGCGGTTCATCTGTGGGGCACCGGATTGTCGTTATTTGACGATCAATGAAGAAATGTTGAAGAACCATCTGAGCACCTTGCACATGGATGTCAAAGAATACAAGTGTCCTCACTGTCCAGCGGTGCACATCTTTTCCGGTCAACTGAATGTGGGCAAAGTTTTGGAACATTTGAAACTGCACGATAAGGAGCTATACCGCTGTAGCAAATGTAGCATTTTCATGAACAAAAAGAAAGAATTGGAGCAACATGTAGACGAAAAACACACAGCGCAAAACGCAGCTATCTACGTGATCCGAGATGGGAGCACTGCCGGCAGTGCTTCATCAGCTGGCATAGCCGAAGATGGTGTAGTGTTCAAATGGAAGTGCGACGTTTGCAAGTTCAAGAGTCCAGCGATAGCCGAAATGCGGTTGCACATGCAGGAGACTCACAACATTACCGCCAAATATCGTTGCTCGAGATGTCTGTACAGTTGTTCGAATAAGTCGCTTTTCACCATTCATTTCGAAAAACAACATCCTGGATGTGAGATTGTCATCATATCGCTGTATAAAGCCATCGAAGGTGACGATAGTCGAGCGGACACAACACCCCTGTGGCGAAGAGAAACAAGCAAAACTCGAAGCATCAGAGGAATTCTGGTGGAAGACGAAAACGAGGATGAAGATGAACCGAACTCTACAGATGTGGCGACAATATCGGGGGAGCCTCAACCTGGACCAAGTGGACTTAACATCACCAGAAAGCGCAAAAGTACTGAAAACGATGAATCAGAAGTTTTGGCGAAACGGGCCAAAGAAGAAGATTCGGCAGTGCGGGCATTCAAATGTGGCTTCAAAGGGTGCAACTATGTAAATGATTTTGGAGCTGGGATTGTGAGCCATTTCCGAACGGCACATCCTTACGAAAAACCATCTGTACTGAGAAATGCCCTAGCCAATCCGGAGCAGTCCCGGTTCGACTATTTCATGAAGTATGCTTGCTTCTATTGTGTAAAAAAAGCGGACACGATCCAAGATTTGGTTATGCATTGGCGACAGATACACAAAATGGCAGGCCGGCGCAGTCAAGATAAGCCTTTCCTTTTCCGTGCATCAAAGATCATTTTGTGCTTCTATTGTCGTAAAGGAGCTGTGATGCCTGAAATGAAATCACATTTCACCTCTTACCATCCGGGAAATCAGCCAATCTATCTCGATTTTCGCAATCCGAAACGTTGTGCTGAATGTGATTTCATGATGGGAGCGGATAAGCAGGAAATGGCCCAACATTTCGCTAAGGAGCATAAGATCGAGAACGAATACGCTAACGGTTGGATTGATTTTCTCACCGACGATGTCGTGGAAAAAATTCTTCAGCTGAACAGTGTAGTCTACCGTTGTGAAAAATGTGACTTTTCCAGCGACAACAAGACAGATTTTACCATCCATTATGCAACCAAGCATCCCGGCCTTCGAGTGGAGTTCAACGAGTACGAAATGGAAAAGACAATAACCTACTATTGCGTGTTCAGCAACTGCAAATCTAGCTGGAACTCCCCAGAGGACCTGGCTCAACACATCCAATATCACATCCCACTGTTCAAATGTATGTGCGATACGGTACAGTGTTCGGCCCAGTTCCGGTCATTCGTCATGCTTCTGGAGCATTTCAATTCAACGCACCCTCAGCACAGCCTTCAATATGCGTTGAAATCGCCGGAGGAGTACAAGGCGGTCCTACGGTCGATAAACATCCAATTCTGGAACGGATTTATGATGACGTTGGATGATGCACGACGTGCTGGAAATCGGTATGGCAGCCACGACTACTTTTTCAAATACATTGATGAGCTCTGCGCCAAATCAGTGGCTGCAGCTATACCAACGCCATCTCTCTCAAACTAAATCTGTTACTATCAAGCAAAGAGGTACCAAATAAAAAAACGCAACAGGTACATTTTTCAAGTTCTGTAAATATATGTTCATATGTCATTCTATGTGTATTTGTTTTTCTTTTCTCTTTCAATAGGTACCGCTTACAAATAGTAGATATAAGAATGCAACAAAGAAATGCATAGAGAACGAATGATATCACCATCCTTGTGGAACGCTTTGTTCCCATACTGATGTTTAGCAACTATTGAGGTAACTAGTACGCATCTACGGGTTGTACATGTTTATTTAGATTCGACATTTTCTTTCAGCTATGCACTGTTTGATCTTTTGGCCTATGTCTTATTTTTATGTGGTAAATTGGAATCCAACTTAGTAAATAACTGGAGCATCATATATTATCCATACTCCCCAAATTAATTACAAAATATTGCATCACAAGGGAATCTTAAGGTCTATTTATGGTTCTTTACTGTTCAACCGTTACAAAATATCTTCCTGTATTTTTCTTGAAAATAAACAAATTGTTTTACTGGATATAGGGGAAATTGATGTAATGTCGGCCTAAATGCCCCTAATTTAGGCCCATACATAAAGTCAGCAATCGACTGAAGTTTCAATAGCGACCAAAAATATCCATTAGTACCGTCCCAATGACGCGTTTATCTAGATAAAATTGACAAATAGCATTTATTTAGCAATATGGGCCCAATCTTAGATCCATAGGCCAACATTAGAACCATTTCCCCTACGTAAGTAATTTTCATTCTTCATTTAGACAACAAAAGTCCGATGAAGAGAATAATAAATAAATAAATTGGTGTATAATAGTGCTGAATATGACGAATTGAAGGCGAGGGCAATTGAAAACGATTCATGGAACAGGTGTTGACAGCCATCAATCTTGGTGAACGCGTACTTTATCCGTATATTGCACCCAGTCGAGTTCGAAATTATGAATTCATTGAAACTAACTGTCAGTCAGATTGCACAGGTTTCTTGGTCGACATTGGATTGGATGTGCCGATACTACCTACTAATCAGAGAAAAAAAAATCAAAAAAGTCGCCAGTTTTGTTCCTACTGAATGCTGCAAATAGCACTAATATCAAAACTTTCGACGCACGTTTCCTGTACGTGGATCTTGGATTCCTCAGAAGATCTTCCTGGAATTTCATCATCGCAGACGTTAGTAGAGTCATTATCGGAGCAGACTTGCTGTCTTATCCGGAGTTCAATCACCGTACTGCCGTATCAGTACAGATGGTACAACGAAACTCAAAACCTGGATGGTAAATTCACCTCTTCACGGTATTACACCAATCTGTTACGATCATCCGTTCCGGTTCTTACTTGAGGAGTTCAATATTATAATCTATTATAACGAGGCCTATTGTGCGCCGCGAGTAATGTGAGGTGACTCTCCGCGTCGACCCCTTGGCGCCCAACCGATCCTACGAAAAGGAAAATTAGTTTGGTGTTCTCGGGTTCCAGTTCCCGGTTCAAGTTCTACTCTCGATCTTTCGCTATGTACATTTGTCCTTCTAGCCGGATGAGATGGAACCACACGACGAGAATAAGCGAAAGCGAAATATGAGTTGTCCGTTGCCGAAAGCCTAAACACTCGGAATCCCACCTACGAGGGGATGCAGGAACGGAAGAATAATCTCACGGAATTTGCTAGTAATTTCGAAACCATTCAAATAGAGATTGAAGAGAACACTAGTCACTTGGAAGATGTAGCATCGGTATTCAATTACCGGCTGCAGTTCAACGAAGTCTATTTCAAGCCGAAGGGCATATACTCAGCGGATGTCCACCTACAGCGCCGGAACAGGAGAATCGACAAACGACTTGTGAGATGCGATCAGGGAGACGCAGCAAACAATGATCATGCATCACATGAAGAACAGTGCAGCACCTGTTGCGAGACAGGTGTCGAATCCGGACCATCCGCTGAACGTGAAACTTCCGCAGCTCAACATTCCATTGTACAAAGGAGAACAGAAGAACTAGCATTCCTTCAAGGTTTGTTCGTGAGCACAATCCACAGCAGAAAGGACCTGAAGGATTCGCTGAAGATGCAGTACTTGCTATCATATCTGGACGGCGAGGCGAAGAAAATGGTCAGTTCATTCCCCATCAGTGATGCCAATTATAGGGAAGCTTGAGAGACACTTTTTTTTTTGTAAATACTTTATTTGTACAGGCTCAATCGAATAAACTTTACAGAGCCGAGTTATCCTTTGTGTTATACATTATTACTGTCTTATATTTTAAGTTAAAGGAACTGGACCGAGTACTCGAGGTTAGTGGAGATTTACAATTTTTTGGATGGGAAAAGGGAAGAAGGAGGTTTGAAATGTGGTTTACGATACAACTATTTGATTAATCCTAAAGCATGAAATTATTTCTATTCATCTTGAAAACAAACATTGAAAAAAAAATCCCCACGTACAAAATACAAACTAAACACAAGGTTAATCAAAATTACAATCTAACGTTAATATCCTTAAAGTAAACATATATGAGTTTCATAAACTCCAGATCGCGTCTAGCCAAAATATCCCGAACTGGAACATTAGGTTGTCTACCTCGAGCCCGAAGGGAATCATAAAAATGTGATCTGACCCCACGATATTCCGCACAAGACCAAAGGATGTGATCAGCGTCTTGGTAACCTTGTTCACATTCACAGAGATTGCTGTCTCCCTACCCCACACGGAACAAGTGAGCGTTTAGACAATAGTGATTGGACATGAGACGAGACATCACGCGTATGAAGTCTCGACCCAAGTCCAACCCTTTGAACCATGCAAACTTCGACACCTTAGGGATAATTGAATGTAGCCATCGTCCCAAGCTCCCTTCACTCCATTGATGTTGCTAGCTAACGAGCGACTGCTGACGATAAATAGAGAAAAATTCACTATAGGCGATTTGTCGATCATAAATGTCGCCTTCCATAGCGCCCACCAAGTGAATCCGCCTTCTCATTGCCCAAAATTGAGCAATGCGAAGGGACCCACGCGAAGGTGATGATGAAAGAGCGCACGGATAAAGTACTAAGCAGTTCTCGTATTTTCAAGAGAAAATACGAGAAGTGCTTTACCGGCCTAATGGAACGGATAGCCTCGACAGAACTGAGACTATCCGTAAAAATAAAGTAGTGGTCTGGAATAAGTGAAGCAATAGTTTCCAAAGTGTAGTGAATTGCTGCCAGTTCAGCCACATACACAGAACAAGGAGCTTCAAGTTTTCGAGAGGCGCTATGAAATTCATTAAATACACCAAAACCAGCGGACTCCTCTATTAGAGATCCATCTGTGAAAAACGTTCTTGCAGAATCAACATGGCCAAACTTTGCAGCGAAAATTGACGGAGCAATCATGGAACGATGATGCTCTGGGATTCCGCGAATCTCATGCGTCATGGATAAATCAAAATGAACAGAATTGCCGAAGTCGGAGAAGCATACACGATTGGGAATATTTCTTGAACGGCTGACATCCTGTGTTAAATATAAGTAGTACAAAGTCATAAAACGTGTTTGAGGATTTAGCTCCAGAAGCTTCTCAAAGTTTTCGATCACTAGTGGGTTCATTACTTCGCAACGGGTGAGGAGCCTCAGAGATAACTCTGAAAAACGGACGGATAGTGGCAACATGCCCGCCAGCACTTCGAGACTCATAGTATGAGTCGAGTGCATGCATCCTAACGCGATACGAAGACAACGATACTGGATCCGTTCCAGCTTGATGATGTGGGTTTTAGCTGCCGACTGAAAACAAAAACTACCATATTCTAGAACCGATAAAATCGTTGTCCGGTACAACGTCAGAAGATCTTGTGGATGGGCTCCCCACCACGTTCCGGTAATTGATCGAAGGAAATTGATCCTTGGTTGGCATTTTCGTCTCAGATACTCAATGTGGGATCTCCAGGTGCATTTGGAATCGAACCAGACCCCGAGATATTTGAAAGACATGGAATGAGTGATCGGTTTACCCAAAAGTTGAAGCTTCGGTTGTGCTGGGCTATGCTTCCTAGAAAAAACGACCAACTCAGTTTTCTCCGTGGAGAATTCGATACCTAGCTGAATAGCCCAAGTCGAGGGAGGCGAATCTATCTAAGATGCAGGAAATTTATTGCTTTGCTGTTGTGAGATGCACTCGCGATTAATAGATAGAAACACGATTGATCGTGATTTTGAAGATTTCCTGCAAAAAGGTGGAGAGCGATGCGAGTAGATGGGTTTGGATGTGAGAGATGAAAAAAGATTTTTCGTAGATTGATTCGCTAGTGTGAGATTTTTCGACCATTTAAAATCAAGATTTAGATGTGTCGCACCCCTCGGCCCAAGTAGACAAACTGTCCAAGGTATCCTGTAAGGGTACCTGCAGGTCAACCTCTTTTGGTCCTGTGATAGACACTACGTCGTCATCTGCAAGTTGTCTCAACGTGCAATTGTCACTAAGACAGACATCAATTTCTTTAACGTAGAAATTGTACAAAAGGGGGCTTAAACATGAGCCTTGGGGGAGACCCATGTAGCTAAATCGAAAAGCTGTAAAGTTTCCATGAGAAAAGCTCATATGTTTTTCTGACAGCAAATTGTACAAAAAATTATTCATTAATGGAGACAATTCACAAACGTGGAGTTTCTCTGAAAGAACTTCAACGGATACTGAATCAAAAGCCCCCTTGATATCCAAGAACACAGAAGCCATTTGCTCTTTCTTACCAAAAGCCAACTGAATTTCCGAGGAAAGCAACGCGAGACAGTCGTTCGTTCCCTTACCCCTACGGAAACCAAATTGAGTATCTGAAAGAAGGTGGTTCGTCTCAACCCATTTGTCGAGGCGAAAAAGGATCATTTTCTCCATCAATTTCCGAATACACGACAGCATCGCGATGGCCGATACGAATTGTGATCCGACGCGGGTTTATCAGGCTTTTTAATGGCTATCACCCTCACTCGTCTCCAATCGTCGGGAACAATATTGAGCTCCAAAAACTGATTGTACAAGTTCAACATGCGCCTCTTGGCGACGTCTGGGAGGTTTTTCAGCAAGTTGAACTTGATTCTATCAGATCCCGGGGCAGAATTGCCACACGAAAGGAGAGCGAGAGAAAGTTCGACCATTGAAAAAGGCTGACTGATTTCGTCTACCGAATTCGCGGTTTCGCGAGGAATCAACTGCGACGGCACGGAATCCGGACACACTTTTCGCGCGAATTTAAGAATCCATTGATCCGAGCATTCCTCGCTTTCGTTGTTAGTAGACCGGTTACGCATTCTTCGTGCCGTACTCCAAAGCGTATTCATAGACTTTTCGCGCGACAATCCGTCTACAAACTGCCGCCAGTATCCCCGTTTTTTGGCTTTGACGAGGCTCTTGAGTTCGCGTTCAAGAGATGTGTATGCGTCGAAATGCTCACGTGTTCCGCGTTCCCGAAAAAGTTTAAATGCGTCGGACTTTTTACGGTAAACCTCCGTGCATTGTTGATCCCACCAGAGCGATGGTGTTTTCTTACGAATTGACGATCGCGGCACCGGTCGTGTTTGAGCTTGAAGTGTGCTGTCGACGATGAGATTAGAGAGGAAGTTATATTCCTCCAACGGCGGAAGCTCTTCCACTGACGATACTGTATCGCCTATCGCGGATTGGAACTTAGTCCAATCGATGTGACGGGTTAGATCATACGCGACGTTAACGGATTCTGACGAGTTGAACCCACTGGTAATCGAAATTTTGATCGGCAGAAAAGTGCTCAACTTTTTGGCTCAGCTCTGGTGCTCTCTTCGGTCCCAAACTAATCGATGCACCCCTCGAAAAATAGGAAAATCGACGAAGTCCTCATTTTATCTGTCAAAATGAAAACAAAAATCTTTCAGTGTATTAAAAAAAGTGAGAACGAGAGTGAAATAATTGGCTTTGACGGCGACTCTGTAGCTCTTTACTCCTATGAGAAAATCCATAAGCAAACGTCAGACTGTGCGTGAAACATGGCGGACTTTGTACTATCCTTTCACTCCACCGAAA